AAAAGTGGGTGTTACTTCTGTGTGCACCTTTAAACGTGTGTGTAACCTCTTCGAGGATAAAAGGTGTGATGTGATGTTATGTTGTTTTGCCTCGCTTTGACCTTGATATTATGCCAAAATCATGTTAAGTAAACACCTACTACCAAATACTTTAAGTTGAATTCCAAGTTTTGTTTAAATTTTTTTATGGGATAAGCGGGTAAATGAGGACATGCATCATGCACCTGATGGTAAGGTGTCGCCCATGTATATCCGAAACAACAAGGGCGATACAAGTGGATTACTAGCCTTTTGGGGACTAGAAATTTGAAGATTCTTGGGGATTCAGGAATTGAGATGGGGGGGGGGGGGGATAATCGGGAGGTAATTTGTGTCAAGTGTTTTTAAATGGGTTTACTCATTTTAAAATGTAGATTTATCTGATATGATCACCGGGCGTGTCATTTTTTATTTTAGAAAATGCAGTTAATGTAATTAGTTTTTAATTTTTACTGTGGTTATGTTATAAAACCAAGATTAGGTTTTGATAACCTATCTTACTTTGTTCCTTGTTCTGATATTTTTTCTAACAACATGGTACAATTTTTTGTTTTTATTTTATGATGATAAGATATTTTCTTTTATGGTATACATAGTTACTCTTTTGAGTACTCTTTTGTAACACATACAATTGTATCACTACATAAATAACTTTAAGTAAGTATGTGAGTAACCCACAATTTTTAGTTCATTTAAGAATGCTTATAATAAATTTTAAGACTGCTTATAATTTAGTCTAATCAAATTACAAAAAGAAAACTAAACAATTCAATAACAGTACATCCTTGAACTTCTTATGTGAGTAATAAAATTATGTTGTCCGACTTATTCAATTAGCATCAAATCATATGATTCACAAAATAATGATTCACATTGATGCTAACTCAGTAATTCATTATTTATTAAGGTAGCTATTATGATTGTGCTCCAAATATGTGTAAAGTAATGAATGCTCCTGTGGAAATTCACTGGGAGTGGTTGGCTCAAGTTTGCATTTTTCCACACCTGTTTAATGTGGTTTATTTATATTTAAAACAACTTGCAGACTGTATTGTTATTTTTCTATATAGAAAACAGGCAAGACCTTATGTTGTCTTAACTACGGAGATAATGAAACATGCTTTGTTTTTTAATTAAATTAAAATGTTGTATTAGGATTTTAATTATTTATAGACACATCATAAGTGAAATATTAACGTCATTACACAATAATATATAATTAATAATATTATTCATCAAAATTCCAGATAGATCGCCAAACCTTCGAGTATACAATGGAACGGCTGAACGAACACTTTGAAATGGCAGAGACAGCAGACTGCAGTACGTACTGTGAAGGCTGCCTGGCCTGTCTTACTGCCTACTTCATATATATCTGCACTGAGACACATTATGAAAAGGTATGTTGATAGTAATCGGTCATTATTCTTATTGTCATCAAAGAAAAATTTTCTTTAGTACTTATTTCTTTTCTTTTTATAATCAACAACATTTTATTCGTCATTCGTTTAACAATCACCCTCCATCACAACATCACATCCGAGCTGTCATTTCAAAATTAATCAATGTAATTTGAATTTAAATGCTATGAAATTATCCTTTATTTTGCCATAATTTAGCCACGAAGCTATCATTAGAGATGAACGCAAAATATTGCGTGTCATGTACTACGCGTAAACTGTAATCAAATAAAATTATATGTGAAGGAAAATCGCTATTGTTACTATGAGTTTCCAGCTAATTTGAAAACATGAATTGTTTTTCTGTACTAAAGGAAAAAAGACAGAAAAACTCAGTGTATGACTAATGAAACAGTCTTAAGTTTTATCCGATGGTGTGTAGTCCGAATCTTGATATTTATTAATTTGTTAGAAATGTTGTAAATACAAAAGCTATTTTCTTTCAATTTACTTCTGTGTAGTTAATCTCACAAATAATAATAATTGCTACTTTATCTTTGTCTTGTCAAATCTCCACTAATCACAATCACATCAACCGCATTTTTATTACACCAAAATCCCTTTACAGTTACTTGTAGAGTAACTTCTAATGTGTACTTACCCCATTTTACTGTATTGCATTTTCTATTTTAAACTTTTACTTCTAATAAATCAAATTTCATGGAAAACGTTGCGATGGTTGATACTAACCGTAATTACGGTGGAACACGCCATCGACAGGTCGATTACCAACTAGGGCAAAATCTAGCTATTACTCATAATATGTATTGGATAATTTCTAGATTGTATTTTCAATTAATTACTTTTGTTTAAATAATGACTTCTGGTTAATAAGGCCAAGTTTTTGGTAATTGCCTTTTATAAAACAAAGTACTTGATCAGATTACGACACGATGATCAGTCTGAAAAAATGAAAAAACTACTAAACAGCAATATGTAGGTTTCACTAGTAAATAAATTGGTGTTTGAGAAAACTTAATTATTATTTTATACATGAGAATTTATATACCGCGAGCAAAGCTTCTTGTAGAAAGTAAGCTATCTATTCATTTTAAAATTCCTATTATCTGCAGCTTTATTAACATAACCTTTGTATTATTCCACAGCACCTAAGGAAAGTATCAAAATTCATAGCGACACAAAACGAAAGAGTTTACAATCCGCGCGGGATTCACATCACAGACCCAATCCTAAGGGGGCTACGGGTCATAGAGATCACTGTCATTGACGTACCGAACTGTCAAAGTCCGACTGGCAACTCGAACAATCAAATGAGGCATACATGACCACCACAGGAAAATAGGGAGTTCTTCATGTAACCAACAAGACTCTTCTTGATGTAAGGATTTGGCTCTTATCCGGGAAAGTTTGTTTTTCTGATTACAAACGTCAAAACAATGTTTGACAGCTGTCATTAATTTGTGACGTTAAATTTTAGGATAGTATTTTTGACAGCTGGTTGTTTTGGTAATGTGACACCTAATTTACTAATTAGTTTATTTTATTACATTCCCAGTGTGTGATTTCATTTTTTTTAAATCATTCGTGTATTTTGACGTTTCAGTATCATATGTTCAAAACTGCCGAATATAAAGTTTCCGATTCTTTTCCATTATTAGATAGTGGAATTTGTGAGTGTTTTCAATGTCTTCAAATCTTCTCTTTCTGAAAATATGTTATAGCATTTCAAGACAAATTAAGCTACATGCAGTTTTAACTTTTAGAACTGTCTAATGGAGACCTAGTGATTGTAAAAAATGTAAAACGACACAATTAAATGAAATTACATAAAGGGAAATAAAGCGCTGTTATCTGATGGAGATGATATCTGATAATATTCGGTTGACTCATAGCTTGGATAGCCAACATTACATAGCAATATTATTCTTTTTGACGTATCTAACAGATTGCGTTGTCTAAGTATAAACAAGAATTACTTACGTTTATTTTCCATATAAAATACATAAGAAAAAAATATGAGAGCTGAATCCGTATGTCATCGAGATGTAATTTTCTACAAAATATTTATAAATATAGGCTCTTTTTCAATATCTTTAAAGTCGTAGATTGTATAAAATGTAGATAGGACCACCGTGTGGTTTTGTAATGAACGTAATTTTTATACCTAGCTGGATTGTTTGAAGTCTAGGTCACATGGGAAGAATTAAAAAGTAATGTTGACATTTAAAAAGCATATTGTACACGAATGTTTTATATAAATGTCTATAATTAAGTGTGATACCATTATTTATAGTAAATTTCATCATTTTACTGTATATTATTTTTATGGACACACTGTAGATTGTTTGTTATACAGGGTGTGTATAAAAATGTCATCAAACTTATTTTAGTATTATAAAATGGCCATTAATATTTCAGTTTCAAAATAGTTATATTATGTCTCATTTGGATGTAAAAATAATTACTTTTTAATCCCCTTCCTATAGTAGACCTCACCAATTAATTAAGTACACATCAAGACTAAAAAATTGACTCAATTTTGATCGAATGACTGATTTTATTTAATTTCTTTCGTTAGCATGACAGAACTCCTTTTGCCAAATTGTTCTTCCAAGTGGAGAATGTTCGAGAATGTTTCATATAAAATTTGATGTTTTTAAGACTTTGGTGGCTTATTTGCTTAGTTTAGGTAATGTACAGACGGACAAAGTATCAACGTACTTTAATTTGTCGAGTTTATTTATTAATTTTAACTTTATGACTTTGTAGTTTTGACTGCTTTTCTGGCCGAGTGTCGAGGGTCAATCGAGGGTTTCGAGTTCGATTCCCAGGCCAGGAAAAATATTTGAACTATATGAAGATACCTATTGAGATTTTTGGCTTTCCAAATTTCTCAGAAACTGGAATTGTGCCTGGTATATCGCAACACGACTCGTCCCCTCCCACATGGGGCTTATAACATAAGTGATAAAAAGTATATTACATTTTATATAAACACCTCGACCTTCTCCAGAAAACAAAACACGTGACGTCATAAATATTAAGTTACCTATTAGATTAAATAACTTTGACAGATTATATTAAATTGATATACATAAACGTCTGTACTTATATGTATATGGCTTGAGATTCTTGCTGTAAAATGTACGAAGAACAAATCTAATTTGTTTTCAAGTATTAAGTAATTTGACGACCTGATAAAGGTAACAGGGAGTGGATGGATAAAGTCAATACGGAAGGCCTATGTACAGCAATGGTCGTTTCGTGGGTGATATGATGATGATAATAGTATAATATCATCACTAAAAATCTATTCATCATCAGCTGTGATCACTGCTGGAATATGTGCAGACACAAAAGAGAAATTTGCCATAATGAACCACAAAACATGAGATTCCATTACTGGACTATGGCCACAAATGAGAGGTTAGCCTTAATCTCGACACATGGCAAACAGGTTAGAAATCGCAGTTATTAATAGATTACAGAATCGGTACTTCGTATCCACCTTTTTTCAAAACTTATTCACATAAATATTCAAATGTTTTTAAAAAGGGATCAACAACAATTTTTCAAGTCACAAAATATTTGTATACGATGCGATTACACAGCAAGATAACTCGAGTCGATTGCATATATAGGTGAATGATAAATGATATATAAATATAATTATAGAAATTATTATTATTATATTACATAAAGTATATCGTATCATTTGATGTAAGAGGTTTTCAATGCTTGTGTTTATCTACTTTCTGAAAGGATAATAATTGTTTTTATAATAACTATCGTAAGACATATTAAATTAACTTAATATGGGGGTTACTCACGTGAATATACTGTGAAAAGTTCTACTAGTCTAGTAGCTCTACAGTAGGAAGGAGGTAGGGAGCTCTCACGAGGAAGAACCCCTCTGTGGTTCGAAACTAGTAGAGCTTTTCTCAGTATTTTCACGTGAGTAACCCGCGATATTTAGTTAATTTAGGATAATACTTAACTAAATACTGACTACGATCGTTGTCATTCCCGACACTTGACAAGCATGTTGGAGATTGCTGTGTAAATAGTTCAGGTCTATCAGAGGCGATCGTTGATAAAATCTCCGCCCTTGGCAGATGAGTCGGAGATATTGCGGTTTGAAAGGTTTAGATGTGTCACGGAGCACTGCGGACCGGGCTCTGTTAAATGTAGTCCCTTATTCGATTCTTATAATACCCACGAAAAGAGCCAGGGTGGTTTTAAAGTGGTCTTTAGAAGAAATTGTTTCACCTTTCAGAAGGTAGGTTCAGTCTTAGTTCATGTGGATATAAAAAACATACCAATATAAATAGATACTTTTTTAAATGTATGAAATAGTTAGATAATAGTCCAGTTATACGCCATTCCATATTGTTAATATACTTATTTTTAAATGACTTTTAAAATAATTTCGTAGTATAATATTTTTCACCGATACAAAACTTGATTATTTATTAATTAAGACTATGTTTAAGATCCTATGTAATCCCAAGTATTTGCAAAATCCTTTGTCATCTAAATTTTAACTTTAACCACATGGACTAAGACTTAAAATTGTGATTAAGTTATAAGGCCCGTAGACTAGCCTAACAAATTGTGGTTGCAAAGACCTATGTTAATAGTGTTCTTTTTTAATTTAAATTAATTATAACCCTCTTTGGCCCCTTGTTATATTTATCTGTTGTATTTTAATTAATTATAGGATTTATATATTATGTCGCAGTCAATTAGCTTAAAAACTCATTCAATTAACTGCCTGGCCTGTTTAATATATGATGTTGTAGTACAATTCCGGTAGGTCAATTTCAACCTAAACCTACTGTTTTGGTAGCAATGCTGTTTAAATGGCAACCCTTTCTCACTTAGATAAACGGTCTGAACTAAGAATTCAGCCACTCAATCAAACGGCTAGTCATTTAGGCCGTTAGTTAAATGGCTAATAAAGCTAGCTGACTGCGACATAATACATGTTGTCTGGTAGGAATTATATATAATGAAACTATTCACTAATTTTAGTTGTAACATACTATTTATGGTTGGTTCTAAGTAGTGCGAGTCGATTCTATTATCTTTATTGTTTTATATTGTATATAAAATAGCTCTAAAGGGCTTTTTATTGTGTATAGTTATCTAACTATACAGTTTCGTCTGTGGTGTGATGAGAATAAGGTTTGAAATTGCTTGACTTGTGACCTTAAATGTTGAATGCGTATAAATACTTGTTTGACTTCATATTTGTATGAATATAGTAAGGTATCGTTGCTTTATTGTGTCTATGTTTGTGGTAGACAAAATTAAGCTCTTTTTCGATGTGTCAGAGTTGAAAATAGCACTTATTGGTTAAGCAAGCAATTGTGTGAGTTTTTAAAATCTTGTGAGTAAATTGGTAATAGTTTATCCACCGCGGCCGGTATTACATGTAATAGGTATATCATATCGTAGAATATTGTAAACTTATTGCTTCATATGATTTCCGAAGATAATAATATTAATCTTGACTGCCTCATTGGCCGAGTGGTCACAAGTGCTGCGGCTGGGCAAGAGGTCTCGGGTTCGATTCTCGGGTCGGACAAAGTATTATCTCAGTAGTAGTCCCATGTAATACATGGGACTCATAACATAAATAGTGGAAAGTAGGTGTTACATTGTACTGAGTACCGTAATGTGCACCTCTGCCTACCCCTTCGGCAATAAAAGGCCTGATTTCATGATGATGTTTTAGGGATAAAAAGAGATCTTATCAAACGACTGGTTTTTTCTAGCACTTACGCGCTTTGCTGGGCCTTTATTGAACCAGAACGACTCTTATTCGTATTAAATGTCCTCACATATCTTCCAACGATATTGTATAATAGTTTTGTGACAAAAACGACACTTCTCATAATGAGAAGAAACTGATTTGATAACCATGCTACATAGGTCAGTGGATAAATTACTACCAATTATAGAGTATTTAGTATTGTGTCGTACTAAACGATGACGGACTTGGATAAAATCACAATTTATAATTTCTTTAACGTAAATGACAAGTCATGTCTAGATTTTTAAATTCTTTTATTTTTATGTCAAACATACAGGTTTTACTCAGTTTCTTTTTTTTTCTTTTTTTTCTAGAACAAAATTTTAGTGTTATGTTTTAATTTCGGTTATAACTAAAGAACTAATATTAATAATGATTTTGTCATGATTTTTATGTCTTTAAACTCAACGTTTGTCTAGTTTAATGACTTATAAAGCCGCGTGTCAAACGGACGGATCCGTGTGATATGACTTGTATAGTTGGGCATTTATTTAATATTTATTATTATGTCATAGTGTAGGATATGTTTTCGTAATTTTAATATTAATTGTTGTATTTATCGCTTCAGTTACATGATTAAAAAAAAACCTGCCCTGAAAGTCTCTTGACATTAATTTACACAATTCGGTGATATTTGAACTTTATTGCAAAACGATAAAATTGAAAATGTACTACATACATTAACGATTGAATTTTGTCCTTCATATCGACTTACCTAGAATTGTGTTGAATTTGATACAAAAAATGCCAACTTACTTTTAAATATGCGCTCGGAATATATTACTACAAATTTTTAAATGTTCAAGGCTTGCAACACTAACTACTAGTTTGTAGTATATTCTCCAACTGGTCATAAGCAGCTAGATAAATTAAAATTTTGAAAATGAGCTTAGTCAGAACTAGGCCCATTGTGATCCACTGAGCTTCTCTATACCCTTCCTTTTTACTTATAAGGTAAATAAATAAAATATTTCAAACTTATAATCATCTCAGCTTCATAAAAATGAATATTTTTGATTTTTGCTATAAGTAGGTGGCGCTAGTGTAGCTTACGATCTTCCAGTCAGTCTAATTATCTTAAACAGTTATAAGTTCGTTGTACAATGAGTTTTTAAGGCTGGCAATGCACTTGTAATTCAACTGGTCTAACGTGTCCATGGGCGGCGCTGATTGCTTACCATCAGGTGATCCGTCTGCTCGTTTACATCCATAAAAAGGACTGTAGGTCTTATGCGCCATTAGCGTCACTATTAGTAATGAAAATGAAGTCTTCATTTTGGTCTAGATTTTCCTAATCACCTAGATATTATTATAATGAAATAGACTGTACGTAATCGCCCCCATTCTCACAAATATCTTAGTGTTCAATGGAAGCATTTTTGTCATTTTTATACGAAACGAAATTATTTAATTTTGTTTGTGTGTTCTTTCTTGCATCTGCAGGACTTTTGCATACAAAACGTAGATAGATGTATAATAGCTAGATGTCAGATGCAATTGTAATATATAACTTAAGTCTAAACACGCTTCGTAAACCAACTTTTTAGAGTTTGTGTCAAACCTCTTGTCTTCAGATTAAACTTAATAGAGTTGATTATGCCTATGTCATTCTTCCAACGGCAATACTCCAAGGGGCTTTCGATTTCTTCTAATCAGTTGGCGCTAGTGAGACATAAACTCCCTCAGTTTAGCTGTCATAACTAAGTCCTGTAGTAATTAATATTATTATGTTCTATTTATCGATATACTTTACCCGAAAATTCAGATGTTTTTAATTTTAACAAGTCCTGTAGATGCATTGTATATTTAGCGAAAGAATTTATAATAGTATAGAATATAAATATCAAAATGTTATCACATAATTTGTCGTGTAATTTAGGTGTAATGTATAAAATGCACAGATAAAAAATTGATATTAGATTAATGTTGCAAACAAAAAAAATACCTAAATTTGAATTCGTACGATGTTTTAGCATTAAGTTATAGAGTATATTGTAAAATTTACTATGACTATTATTATTAAATAATTGGAATTATATGTGTGAATGTTTTATTTTATGATAAAATCCCTAATTACCAAAGTTAACATTAAAGAAAGTAAATATGTAGGTATATATTGTATGTAATTAAATCATAAGAGCTGTAGGTACCTACCTACCGTACATATAACCTACCAATAGTGTTAGGTCTGGCAGCAAAATAATTGATAAGTACCGCTTGTCTACCGAGAGAGTAGAAAACTAAATGTATGGGGATGACACTGATAAGCGTCAAAATTTACGTCCATCCCATATCATTTAGGTTTCTATTCTACAAGTAGACAAGCGCTAAATGGCATTTGGCTACAGCTGCTGGTTAAAAACCCGGATCATAATTAAAATAATTTCAGCTTTTATGTCTAGAATTGTGCCCAATCCTTGAAGGTAGAACTTACTATAATTATTATTTCGATTCGCTTCAGCATTGTGCAACACCAGTGTCACCATCCTGTAAAATACCATAAACAAGAAAGTTGTAAGATCTGCAAAAAAGGCAGGTAGATCTTGATGCTTCTCTTACTAGAAAAGTATAGATTTATTGATAGAAGCAGGAAACTGATTCTCTGTTCCTATAACAATCTTCGCCGTACAAACAAGCAAACATCTCAGAATCACCAGGGCCGTCTTAGACTACGCTGGGGCCCTAGGACACAATAATTCGGGGCCCTGGTGGAATTTTTCTTTTTTTACGATGCTCCACTTACTAGGATTTTCTCCTGTATCATGGGTGCATTCACAAACATACAAGTTCACATAAACATGACACTCAGACCCGAAACAACAATTTGTGGATCACACAAAGATTGTGCTCCGTGCTGAAATCGAACCCGCTAAACATTTGTATTAAAACTTTCCTTAGACATACTAAATAAATTATTATGTTTTCGGCTTATTCACGTCGCCGCGTCGCAGGTCGCGAAATGCTGCTCATGAATATGAGCCTCTAGTACGGCTTGAAACTAGTCGAGTTCCTCGTCAAATAATTTACGTGAGTAAGCGGTTATACATTGCAGGGCAGTTGGTTGCCGCGCATCGTGTAGCGGATTCATCGTAAAAATTGTCGGTCCTTTGGGGCCCCCTAAAGATGGGGGCCCTGAGCACGGGCCCCGAGTGCCCTTATAATAAAGACGGCACTGAGTATCACCCGCATATAGAAACAAGTCAAACAACGGAAAAGCCAAAGTAATTACAAAGGTAATAAACAAAAACAATTGAGTTTACGAGTGACGGGAATACGATCCAACGCGTTATTCCTGGAGAGATCGTAAACATTCGGTTTATGGGATCTAATTACATGGGGTTATTACTGGGGTCGTGGGTGTCATATGCCAATTTGTGATTTCAAAGATTGAAGATTGTTGTAAGTTTTGAAGGTGCACTCATCATCAACATCATCAGTAGGCCGTAATAAGCCTCTACTTGAAGTCTGGCCGTCTGCCATAATACATGTTTATTGCTAAACGAAACCAAGGGAATTGGAATCTGTTTTCTCCTCCGCCAATAAAAATAATATATATTGTAGTATTTTATTAATATGTATATACATACAAACCTTCCTTAAGAATCACTCTATCTATTAAAAAAAACCGCATCAAAATCCGTTGCGTAGTTTTAAAGATCTAAGCATACATACGGACATACAGCGAAAGCGACTTTGTTTTATACTATGTATTGATTACCTCTCTACAGAAGACAATATTGGTCATGACCTTTGGACGGTAGATATTTAAAATTTCCGTAGTAAACTAGAACTCTTGCAATTTTGTCTGGAAACTGAAATGAAAGCCAAACAACAATTATAATGAGTAGGTACCTACCTATACCTAGTAGGTAATTCTAAAGTTTTAACATTTAAACGGCAAGTGGGCGAGAGGTATGATTATAAAAAAGTTGTTACGTCAAAGAAAATTTTCTACGTTTGAGTATGAATAATATAAGGACACCATTTAATGTTCAAACATTATCCATTTTCAGTAGGTACCTTTTATTATGATTTTATCTTAGAAGTAGTAGGTACATAAGCGGTTACCTATATTTCTATACCACTATTTCTCATAGCCTTTTTGCAGCTTACCACCTACCACATACATTTCACTATCCAAAAGACGACTGGCAAAGAATGCTTTTAGCATAAAGTTCGCCTTAAGCGATTGTATAAAACTTAGATAAATAAATAAATATTTCATCAGAAGACGTATTTTAAACTAACTAGTTAAGTACTCACCCTCTACAGTTTTCTTTTGTCATGCGTTGCATGATAGCCCCCACTCCCTCTACACTTGCTTCACTTCGTCAAACACAATATTTTTTAAACATTATCAAAAAGTAATTTTGGTTAATGACATGACAAAAAATCGCAAACCGATCATCACTCAGCATAAGAAGATTCGCTACTTGAATTAAAAATAAAATGTTCGAAGTTGACGCGCTATTTATCTTATTCATACTCATCATGCTGTAGACGTGTTCTCAAACTGTGGGTATTAATATTAATAAGTTTGTGGCCATTTTCTCGACTCTGTTTCTTTATATTTCTTCAAGACAATGCGCAATAGACGACTGGGAGTTGTTCTTGCTTCGTATACTAAGCAGAGGGAACTATTTTCTATTTAACTTTAGGTACTTCAGAACCGTCATTAAGTGTGTTCAAGTTAAAAAAATGGGAAAATGCATTGATAGTTGTTACATCACCATTACTTCGATGTCGCT